ACGTATTTTTCATTTTGTCATCTAAGGAAAACTGCAGACAGGCTGAAGTTTAGGTAATTTTTACTGAGTATAATTTTATGACAATTCAAGTTACGCTACCAATTGGTGTTTAAGTTACCAGTCATATTGACTAATACAGACCAACAATGCGATTTTGAAAATGCCCTTCATCACTAGGGTCTTAAAATATCTTTTGTTCTAATAATCACAGTTTGTTGTTATTGTCATCTGATGGTAACAATGACACAGACAGGCATGTAATAGATTTGTAAAAATACCTTAAAGTTATAGTTAATAATCAGTATACATTAATTAAATACAAGCCCGTTGATGATTGGAAATAGACAGTTGTAGGTGTCTATCGGCATTGAAAGTGAGATGTGGTAACTTGTGCACAATTGATTGCCCTAGCATAACCCAATAATTCTCAGCTAAAATCCACTACTACATCAGGAATGAAACAAATATCTCAAGTCCTTTCAACGTACCGTCATGTTTTATTTCATATTTAAGAACGTCAGGGCAGTAGTGATTAGAATTTGTATATTCCACTGTAAACCATACTAGGTTTGTATATAATTTCGTGCATTTTTCGCTTCCTTTCACCCGCTTAAGTTAAAGTGAGTATTTCACATTTTAAGCCATATTTCTTTTCAGTCCACCTAATGCATTCTCGAGGTGAGAGGCGCCTTGATTACTAAACCGGGTAGTGAATTATTCCTCTAAGCACAGAGTATGAAATTCACTGATTTTTAAAGTGATTCTCAGTGCTCTACTAGAAATACTATTATCGTTGTAATGCAGTGACATATTTTTAAACGATTTGTGATTTTGGAACAAATTAGCAGTTGCGTGTCTCTCAGACTTTCACTTTGGTAAATATACATTTGAGGCATGTCAAGAAAGGTAGCCCTTGTTATTTAATATATTTTCTAAAACAGAATTTCCTATTTCCCACTGTGCTATAAACGGTTAATAAATTATTACCTAAGCCAATTAATGAATTTGCCAATTAGCACATTTAATAGCCATGTGAAATGGAACACTGTTGATTAAGAGTTGAGTGACAAATGGCTTGTAGACAACAACTTTGCGAATACTAAATCCACTTTATTACTCGCGAGATTAGTTTCATTTCAATCGTTCTCAGCAAACCGTCAGCCAGGATTATTAAAATGGGTTTCACTTTTATTTTGATCAAATTTGTTTATCTGCATATAACAAAATAACAATTAAGCTATTTCACAAACTGTAAACGAAAATCTTGCTTGTACAGATTGCTCTA